AAATAAAATCTATATTATATATTTAGTTTTTAATATATTTAAATATGTGTTAAATATATATTTGTGTGATTATAATTTTTAATTGAAATAAGAAAAATTTCCGATAAAAATAAAAAATATAATATTTTAGATATAAATAAATATATGTGAATTAAATTAGATATTAATATGATTTAAAATCTCAATCAAAGTCTAATCAAAAAAATATAAACTAATTAATTTACTAATATTAATACTATGTATATATTTTTTTATTTTTATGTGTAATAAATAAAATTTATAATAGTAAAATAAAAAACAAGTTTAAAAAAGTCTTAATATACATAAAAAAAGAAAGGATTATTACATATATATTTTTATATAAAATAATCCAAAATATAAAAAAAAAAAAATATTTGAAAGATAAATAAAAAAATTATATTTATTAATTTATATATAGATAATATTTATAAATATTGAAAAAAATAAAAAAATAATATTTAAAATTAATTTAAATCAAAAAATATAATTTTTATAAAAATATTATATTTATTAAAAAAATAAATAATAATTAAAAATATAAAATTAATATTTATAAAAATATTATTATTTTATAAAAAATATATAATTTTATATTTATTATATATTTATATATTTATTTTAAATACATTTAAACATTTTATTTAATTTTTTTAAATTATTTTGGCATCGTCTTATTTTTTATAATCTAATATTACTTATTTTAATAAAATTATTTCATAAAATTAATATATAAATTATTATTACTTTTTTATAATGTCTTAAAATAATCTTTATTATGCGTTGCGTTAATGCATATTTGCTTTAAAGTTTTCCATTATTTGCTAAGGCATCCTTATTATTAAGCAAAATACAATAATAGTAATAATATTTTATCATTTTAAATTAATATAAAATAAATAATTGATGTTTTCGTAATAATTGTAATTTATAATATGCATATATTTTATTTTTTTAAATAAAATCGATAATGAATTTATGAATTTTTTTTTTTTAAAAAAAAATAATACATAATATTTATTTATTTAAAGTTTTTAAAATAAATATAAAGAACATATAAATATATTATTTATATATATATAAATTAATAATATATTAAAAAATTATTATTATTATTAATTTTATCATTCTTCCACTTTGTATTAAATAAGTTCTGCTATTGATTTTTTATTATTTTTTTAAATTATAAAATTATGAATCATATATCCTATAACTAATCCAACAATAAAAGCAAAAAAATAAGGTATCATATTCTATTATTAATTTCTCAAGTTCATTTATTTTATAGATTCAATAATTTAATTTATATTTTCGATTCTTTATTCATCTTATTATTTATAATAATTTTCTTATTTTTTAATTGAATGGTATATATTTTACCATATATCATTTATATCATTATTTTATTCATTTTATTATATACTATCATTCTAAAAATTTATTTAATCTATCCAGTTTTTTAAACTTAGATAATCTTGTTTTCCTTAATATTATTTTTTATTATTTAAACTTTAATATGCGATTATTGTTGGAAACTATTTTATATTTTATTTTTCACATATTTCTTTTTCAATTTCACATGCTATTTTTGCTAATTTAACCATTTAATTTTATCCTTCATAAAATTAGAAAAGCTTTTATTTTTTGTTTAAAAATAAAATAAAAATATGATTGAAAATATGTACATTATTCCAATCATTTGAAAATTCAATAAAAGCTTAATCTTAAGATTCATTATAAAAAATAAAAATAAATTTTTTATTTTCTTTATTATTCTCATTATTTATGTAATATTAAAATAACTTATTATGTTTTTTTTTTTTTTAAAAAAAAATAAGAATATGAATTTAAAACATTTTTTATTTTATTTTTACATCTGCTGTTATAACATCCCCTTATAGTTAATCAAAAACATTACTTGAAATTATTAATTACAAAAATAATAAAATAATCGAAAGAATTTTTGAAAAATACATTTATAAGTAATAAAAATATAAAAATAGTAAAAGATTTTTTTTAAATATATATTTTTTAGATTTCAATTTTTTTTATTAATTTTAAGTTTTTTTATAAATAAAGTTATTTATTTTTTATAAAAATAAAATATATATAAATGTGTAAATATATATATATATATACATATATATATATATATATTTGTTTATTTTTATATTATTTCTTTATTTTTTTCAGTATCCTAATAACATAGTATACATTTACTATATTGAATACCTTTTTAAGTATTATTTAAAATAAAAATATTAGATATTTTAATAATTATATTTATATATAAAAAATTAATAATGTGATAAGAGGAAATTTAAATTATTAATTTAATGTTATATATTATTATTAAATAAATTATTTTTATATTAGCAAAATTCTACTTTTTTTTTTACATTTTAATAATAACATATCGTAAAACTTTTAGTTAATAATTATCTTTATTTTTATTAATTTTACAATTAATTAAAACTAAAATTAATTATTTAAGTTTACATTTCACTTTAGTGATACTCCTTCATTATTAAAATATAATAAATTAATATTATTTGCATTGAAAAGGTATTTAGTTATTTTAATATCAATATTCGCTCTTGCAAATTATATTTTTTTAATAATAACACATTTTTTAATATTTTTTTATAAGGCTTTTTTAAATTACTTGACTGTTAATATTTACTTATAGTATTCTGTTTATTATTTATTTTAGTATTAACAGACTTTTTGTTCTTTTATAATTTTTATGATACAAATTGATTAAATTTTAGATTATTTTGTTAAGAATAGATAGTATTGTGATAAATATTGATTAATATCAATATTTTTTAATTATTTAAAATAAAATAACAGTTAAAAAAAATAAAAAAATATGAAAATTAAAAAAAATCATATATAAATATATATTATTTTGATTAAAATTTTATGTTTTTTTCTATATAAACCTTATATAAAATTATTTTGTTGATAAAAAATATAATGTTATTTATTAATAATGTTTTTAATATTAATTTTATAAATAAAAAATTAAATAATAAAATTTATTTTTTTATATTTAATTTTCTAACAATATTATAAACTAAAAAGATTTAAGATGGGATACTTATTTATATATTGATATAAATAAAAATCATTTTTATATATTTATATATATAATTATAATTTTTAATACAATAATTTGTATATAAGAATTTAATTAATAAATAAATACATATAATTTTAAATTAACAAAGATATATTACTTGAAAAAAAAAAATCAGAATATATAAAAAAATTAAATTATAACAAGAAAAATAAAAATATATGTATAAATTTTTTTCTATATTATATATATATTAATATATTAAAAAAAAATTATATATAATTAATTTTTCAACAATTTTTAAATTTTACTTATTTATATATTTTATTAAAATAAAAAATACAGAATTCTAATAATATAAATATTTTTTTATCAAAAATTAAAATAATAATAATAATTAAATAATTTTATAGTAATACTTTATTTTTTCAAATAATATAATAATTTTAAATATATTTTATTTATATTACGTATATATATTATTACATACTTTTTTAATTATAATTAATTAAAAATTTAATATAATAAATAAGAATAATATAGAAAAAGGAAAAATCTTATTAACTAAATTAATTAAAAGAAGAAAAAAACAAAACAAAAAAACGAAACAAAAAATTAATTCAAAAAAAATGACTGACCAAAAAAATTCTTCAATATTAACCACATCAATAGGAACTCCCGTAGATGAAAACTAAAATTCATTATCCGCGGGAGAATACGGTCCTCTCCTTTTATAGGATTTCCACTTAATCGACAAATTAGCTCATTTTGATCGTGAAAGAATCCCAGAAAGAGTTGTTCACGCCAAAGGCGCTGGTGCGCACGGATATTTCGAAGTTACTCACGACATCAAAAAATATTGCAAAGCTAAACTATTCGATACTATTGGAAAAAGAACTCCTTTATTCACAAGATTTTCCACAGTAGGAGGAGAAAAAGGTTCCGCTGATACAGAAAGAGATCCGAGAGGATTTGCTGTCAAAATGTATACAGAAGAAGGAAATTGGGATATGGTAGGAAATAATACACCAGTATTTTTCATTAGAGATCCTTCGAAATTCCCAGACTTTATTCATACTTAAAAAAGAAATCCTTAAACAAATCTTAAATGTGCTAATATGTTCTGGGATTTTCTTTCTTAAGTTCCTGAATCATCTCATTAAGTAAATATATATAAATATATATAAATATATATATATATATATATATTTATATATATATATATTTATATATTTCAATAGGTAACTATTTTATTTTCTGATAGAGGTACTCCTGATGGATATAGACATATGAACGGATATTCTTCTCATACATTCAAAATGGTAAATGAAGATGGTGAAACATTTTGGGTAAAATTCCATTTTAAAACTGATTCTGGAATTAAAAATTTAACTGCTGAATAAGCCAACAAATTAAAATCAGATAACCCTGATTACTCGACTTAAGATTTATTTTAACATATTGCTAATGGTAAATATATTTAATATATATATTTTTTTTAATATTTTTCATTTAGGAAATCAAGCTAGTTGGAGTGTTTTTCTTTAAGTAATGCCTGTGAATGATGGATATAAATATAGATGGAATATTTTTGATATTACTAAGGTATGGCCTCATAGTGACTATCCTTTAATCCCAGTCGGAAAAATGGTTTTGAATAGAAACCCCGAAAACTATTTCGCTGAAACTGAATAATCGGCTTTCTCACCATCTCACTTAGTTCCAGGAATAGAACCTTCTTTGGATAAAATGTTATAGGGAAGACTTTTTTCTTATCCAGATACTCATAGACATAGATTAGGTGGAAATTATGATTAAATTCCTATAAATTGCCCCTATAGAGCTAAAGTATCAAACGGTCAAAGAGATGGATTTATGGTGGTGAATGGAAACTAAGGATCTAAACCTAATTATGAACCTTCTTCCTTCCACAAATTCATAACTAGACCAGAAACTAAATTAAGTACTTAGAGAGTTACTGGTCTTGTGGGAAGATTTAAACCAGCACACCCAAATGACGACTTTTCTTAACCTGGAGCTTTGTATAGAAAAATTATGAATGAATAACAAAGAAATAATACAGTTTAAAATATATTGGGAAATTTGAAAAATGCAAATAGAGATATTTAGGAAAGATAAATAAAAATATTCTATAAATGTGACGCAGAATATGGTTAGAAAATAGCTTAAGAATTAGGTTTCCCAGTTAATAGAAATAATTTGTGAAGTTTTAGTCTATAAATTTATAATATATATATAATTATTATATATATATATATTTTTTAGACTATATATAATATGTTTTTAATAATAAATACTATAGAAATAATAATTTATAATTTTTTTAATTTATACTAAAAAGTTAAATTTTAAAATATCTTTTTATTAAAAATTAAAATAAATAGTATTATTTATAATAAAATATTATGATAAAATTGTATCTTAAATTCATTAAATGGTTATTTTTTCCTCACCCAGATAACAAAAAACACAGAAGCTTATCTCATCCTTTATTTTCTTTTATATTAACATCTTTATGTACTATAATCACATGTACATATTTATCCTAAGCATTTACTTAAAATCATAAATAAATTGAAACCTTACCAGACTGGTCATTTACAATTGTTAAGCCTTTATTAATATTTTATTTAATTTTTTTAACTTCAGTACGTTTAATATAGACAGGAAATACTTTGTTTTACGAATTAATATGGGCCTGTAATTAGGCTATAATAATGATGATATACGGTTTATAAATAAATAGTGTTTTGATCATTACGGCGAGTTTAATTATTGTTTCAGCTGACTAATGTTTTTGGTATATTGATATTATTGGCTTTTTGTTAACAAGGAAATTCTATGTGGGTGTAGCTAAATATTTAATGTGGGAAAGTACGACAAAAATGAGAGTTTTAACTAGTTTGCACCATTTGTGGTTTATTCCTTTGCTTTTGAGTATATTAAAAGATACTGAATTTAGTTATTATTCATACTATATATCGTTAATTTTGACAGTTTTTTTATCAATTTTGGGAAGATTTTTAGTACCTAAATATATTAAGATTAATGAAAAAGAAAGCCTTTATATGAATATTAATTTGTCATATGAATTATGGAAAGATGTTAATATTTAAATTTTGAAAGTATATGATAATGCACCAGCTTATATAGCTTTATTTTTTAGTAATTTTTTTTGGAATACAGGAAATTTTGCATTTTTTTTGTTTTTTAGAAAAATAATTTAATTTATTTGAAATTTTTTTTTTTTTCTGAAAATTAAAAAAAATTGATTTTATTTAATTCTAATTTTTATTGAAAAAATAATATTTATTTTGAAAAAAAAAAAAAAAAAAATTTTATTGTAGATGGTATATTTATTTAAATATCTTATTTTTTAAAAAAATAAATGATTAAAAATAAAATCTATATTTATTTTTATTAAAAAATCAAAAATAAATATTATTATTTTATATATATATATTAAAATTGTTATATATTGAATTTATAATTTATAAAAAAATAAAAAAATAAGGAAATGGAAGATATAGAAACTGTAAATATATATAAAAATTATAAAGAATATACTTAATATATTAAAAAAAAATAAAAAAGTTAAAAAAATAATTAAAACTTGAAACAAAAAAATATGTTGATTTCGAAAAGAAAGTTTTATTAAATGAAAAAAAAGCCTAAAAAGATATATCTAAATATTAAATGGAAGCCCAAAAAGAGAAAATAGAAAAAGAATAACTTTTAAAAGAAAGACAGGAGCTCGAATAAAAAATTAAATAAATGAATGTAGATAACAGTTCACGTGCAAAAGATAAAAAAATCGATGAATTATTAGCAACAATAGATAGAATAAAAAAAGAAAACGATAAACTATAATTATAATACTAAGTATATATTAATATATATATATTAATAAAATATATTTATTTTTTTAAAGGAAACATTTTAAAATTGGTAAAATGCACTTTAATAATAATAAGTATAATAGGACGTTTAATAAACATATAATTAATAAAATTTATAAAATCAATAAAATTAATAAAATCAATAAAATGAATAATTAGCTTTAGAATAATAACTAGAATCGAATAAAAAATTAAAAAAATAATTAAACACTTATGAAATTTAAATTGAATAATATGAATAATAATTAGAAATTTTGCCTTAATTATAAGAAGAAATATAATAATTAAAAAGTTAAAAAAACGAATAAGATATATTATTATAAGAACATGAAGAAAATGCTAAAAAGCTCTAAGAAGAACTTAAATAATTAGAAACGAAAAACAAAGAAATTTAAGAATATGAAAAATCACAAAACTAATAAGTAAATGAATTAAATAATTCAGTTGATAATTTAAAATAATAAATTTAAGTTTTAGAATAACAATAAATCGAAAGTAATAATAGAATAATTGACTTAGAAAATAAAAGAGCCAGAAGTGAGTCTTTTGCTTAGAAAAAGTAATAAAGCGAAATTACTGAATTGAAAGATAAAATCGAAAAGTTGGAAATCGAAATTGAAGAAAAAGAAGAGAAAATAAAACAACAGGAAAATCTAATATTAGAAATTAATTAAAAAAATTAAGATTAATAAGATGAAAAGGCGAACTTTTTATAACAATAAGTTTCCCTTTTATAAGGGGATATTGAAAGAATGAAATTAAATAATTAAAATTTGGAAGAAAATAAGATCTCTTTAAACCATAAAATTCATGACTTAGAAAATAGTAAAGATAGTTTAGAACTTGAATTAAAGCATTATTAATAAAATATTATTTAGTTATAAGAATAATAGGAAGCCTTTAAAAAATAAATCGAGTAAGGATTAAAATAAATGGAACTTGTTAATTAATAAAAAAATGATTTAAATTAAATCCTGGTAAAATAAAAAGAAGATTATGAATAATAAGTAGATAGTTTGAAAATTTAATTAAAGGAACATTAAAATAAGGAAAAAGAATATTTATAGGTTAGAAGAAGAACTGCAAGTAATAATAATAATTACACTGAGGAATAAATGAATGAGTTAAGAAATTAAATAAATGAGTTAAAAAATTAGGTTAAATAGAAAGAATAATAGATTAAAAATTTCGATTTAGTTAAATAAAAGTTCGTTTTCTAGAAAATATTATAACTTAGGTAAATTTAGTTGTTTTAGAATAATATTAATTAGCAAAATTAAAAAATAGAAGAATAAAATTTGAATATTTAAAAATTAAATGAAACTATCAAAGAATTACATTAGAATATAGAAGATTTTATTAAAAGAAATTAAGAAATAGATGGGTTAATACTGGAAAAAAATAATGAGATTTACAGTTTATAGGAAAAAGATTAATAAAATGAAGATCTTTTATATGAATAAAAAAAAGAAATTAATCATTTAAATGTGGAAATTTAAAAATTAAATGTAGAATTGGAATAATTAAATATAGATTTGAAATATGCTGAAGAAGTGGCTATTAAAGTAAAATTAGATTTTGCTTAGGTTTATGCCGAAAGAGATGAATATGAGTTTAATTATAATACTTTAGTTAAAGAATAATCTTTATATGAATAATAATAATAAAATTGATTTTTTTATTTATATATAATTTTTTTATTAAGTTTATATATATTATTTAATAAAAATTTAATCAATATATTAATTTTAATCTATTTTTTTTATATATATATATTAATAAAAATAAATATTTTCATTATGAATTTTTTTTTTAGTAAGAATTTTTTTTTTTTTTGATAAATCTTAACAAAAATCTTGTCTTATAATTTTTTGTTTCTAATTTTAAAATTATTTATAATATAAATAAATATATTTTATAATATTTTTAATACTAAAAATTTTAAATATCTAAATATTAATAAATAAAAAAGCAAATATAAGTAATATATACATATTCTTCTTTTTTAAAAAAAAATAAAAAACATAAAACATATAATAGTTAACTTTAATGTTAAAAAAAAGATAATCAATATAATATAGAGCTCCTCCCGTTCCTGAATTTAATGAATAAGTAAAATAATAAGACTAAGAGAGAATAAATATGCATATGGTTAATTTTTTTGCGGATTTAAATAAAAATAATGAAGAAAATTAAAAAGAATAAACAATATAAAAACAAGAAAATAAAGAAAAGATACTAGATAAGGCCAAATTAGATTAAATTGGCTAGTTTATAGCATAAAAATAAAAAAATAAGATGAGGCGAGTACATTATAAAAAGGATAGGACATAAATTAAAAACTAAAGACCTTATTTTCCAAGAATTAAATAAATACTTAAATTTAATAAAAGAATTAAAATAATTTATAGAGTGATTTAAAAGAATTAACAATAAAAAAGGAAGAATATGATCCGGCACGTCCAAATGATTTTGACTAATTAAAAAGATAATTCGAAAAATAAAAAGAAGAATAATAAAAAAGTTTTGCTAGAAAATCGTTATTTGAATAAAATAATGTAATATAATAATAAAATAATGAAAATAATAATTAAATTTCTCCTTTATTAAATGATCAAAACAATAATAATAATTTAATATAATCAAAAATATCTAATATAAATAATAATAATAATATTTAAGAAAATTAAATTAGAAATAATGAAAATAAATTATAAAAAATTAGCAAATTTTCTAATGATGGGTAACCTAATAATAATATAATTGTTAAAACTAATACAAATAATAATTAATAAATGGATATAGAAATAGATACTTCAGATTTATATTCAAAAAAATAATCATAATGTAAAAATAATAAATATAAAGTATAATTATATTATCTAAATTAATATAGTTGAAACGTCAGAAGAGAAAGCATATAAATTAATGGAAAAGTAAGGATATAGATTAGGATAAGGATTAGGAAAAATGTCTCAGGGAATTATTGCACCTATTATAGCTTAGAAAATAAGTGACACTTCAGCAATTATAACATAAAGTACTTAAGATTTATCAAGTTTATTACCGCCAGAGGTTGTTATGAAAAAATTTTTAGAATAAAAAAACTTGTAAATACATAGATATATAAAAATAAAATATAAAATAAATATATATAAAGAAAAATAAATGTATATATATATAAATATTATATTTATAAATTATTTATATTTTTAAATATTACATTTAATAAATATAGAACTCCTACACATGTAATTTGTTTAATAAATATGGTTTCGCCTTATGAAATCGATGCTGATTTAGAATAAGAAATTACTGAAGAATGTTTTAATTTTGGGAAAGTTATTGTAATATTTTTTATTTTTTTATTTTATTTATATTTTATATTTAGAATTTAAAAATCTATGTTATGGCTGCATAAGATTGTGAAGATGCTGTAAGGATATTTGTAAAATATGAATAGTATTATTAATATATATAAAAAAATATAAATATATTTATATATATATATTGTATTTTTACATATTTTTTTTTTTATATATAATAAATAATATCAGTATAAATGAGTCTATTGTTGCATTTATGAATTTAGATAAACGAAACTTTAACGGAAGATAAGTTATGGCTTATTTTTATAATGAAGATTTTTTTGAAGTTAATAATTTGTCTGAAAAATTAATCAAGTGAAAAATTAATTTTTTTAACAAAACAAACAAAATAAAAAATTGTTTATTTTTTAATTGTATAAAATATTATAAAAATAAAAAAAAATTAATGATTTATTAGTTATTTAATTTTTTTTAATAATTTTATTAAAATAGTAATTTTAAAATATATAGATTGTTAAAAAACACTATTATTCACAAATTTTAAATAATTTTAAATTGATAAATATTTATAACAAAAATAAATTTCATTTACAAATGAATAGTATTATTAAAATTATATTTTTTAATATAAATTTATTATTTATCTATTTTATAAAAATTTATTTAATAGAATAATTAATAATTTTATAATTAATATATATTCAAATATTATTATATAAATATATAAATATAAATATATGTATATATTCAAATATTAACAATTAAAGATTATAATTGCTATTAACATTATATAAATTAAAATTTTTTAAAAATTATAAAATATTTTGAATTAAATACTAAATATTTGTATAAAATATAATATAATTATATATATATATATAATATGAAAAAAATATTATATTATAAATAAATTAAATATTTATATAAATAAATATATTATTTATATATATATTTATGATTTTTTTTACTATTTTTAAAAACGAATTTATTATTTCTTTATTTAATTTATCTTTAATTATTTTTATTTTTTATAATTTATATAATTTCTAATATTTATATTTTTATTTTAAATATTATATATTTTAGTATTTTGTTTTATAAAAATAATATTTTTATAATTATATTATTTATAAATTTTTATATTTTTAATGATTTTTATAAAATATTTTTTTTAATTACTTAATTCATTATATTACATATATTTTAATTAAATTAAAAATATTAATAAAAAATAAAAACAAAAATTATATTAATTTATTATATTAATATAAAATATAAATATAAAATCTATCAAAAAAAAATTATATACAATAACTAATTTTAAAAAAGCATGATAAACATTGTAAAATTTTATTTAAGACAAGAAGAAAAAAAGGTTGAATTAAATAATTACTAAATGCCTATTCAGCTCTAAGATCTTTACGACAAATGTAACTAAGTATTTTAAATAAAATCAAATATATATAAAACCTTAAAAATAAAATGGTCTGGATATTAATAAATAATCCAAAACAGCAATGATTAATATTTAGAAATGTATTAAAAATTAATTGAAGATAAACCTATAATTGTAGAAATCGATATTTTAAATAACATTATTAGTTTTATTTAAGAACCTAATGATTTATCTTTAAGTACTGACATATTCACACATTAAATACAAACGCAATAAAATATTGAAAATGAAAATTAAATAAATTTATAATAATAAATATCTTTTAAACCTACAATTTAATAAAAAAATACATAGGAAGAATCGGAATATACAATTTCTTTTTTGATCGCTTAAATGCTTTATTAAAAATACCCAAAACTACAAATTGAAAATGATGAAAATTTGAAAATCTATATGTAATATTTTCAATCTTATTAGAGGAAAAGTATTAGTCCTTTACCAAGAATTAGCAATTAAAAAAAATAAATAAATTTGTTGGAAAAACCCAATTTTATAGACTAAAATTTCATATGTAATAAGTGCAGAATTACAATAGAAAATGTCAGATTTCATTGTCTAGTATGCTATAGTACGGATTTTTGTGAATAATGCTAGTTAGTGGTCAGAAAAGAACATAATCATCCATTTATTAAATATAATTAGGTTTAAAAGGTAAATGATAAAAGAAATTAAATGACTAAATCGACCAAAATTAGCTAAAGTAGTGAAAGAAATAGTACTGAACTTTAAAAAGATAAACATTTCGGTATTTTTAATGAGGTAATTTAAAATAATTCTAAATAAAAAATAAGAACAGGGCAGAATATTAATTTAATTAAAACTGATTTTCCTTAGAATAAAATTTATATTAAGTTGGGATAATAGTATTAGGTTAAATTCAGTATAAAAAATAAAGGAAATAAATAGTTACCTAATGATCTTTTATTTTATTGTATCGGAGGATATTTATAAGGAAAATATCAAAAAATAAAGGCATTAATGCCAGAAGAAGAATAAGATATTATTTTAGTTTGCGAATCGCCTGAATTTTAAGGAGAATATGAACTTAATTTTAAAATTAAAATCGGAGAAGATGAATTTCTTTAACAATTGTTTGATTTTGATTTAGTTGTTTAATGATTTTTTTTTTTTTTAATTTTTTTTTTTTTTTTTTTTTTAGTATTTATATTTAATCTGTATTTAATTAACCCTTTTTTTTTAAAAAAAAAAAAATGTTTAATTATATTTTTTTTTGTTTTTAAATTAAAATCGGAGATAATGATATCTTTTTTTTTTAAAACTTTTTTTTTATTTAAAATATTAAATTATTAAAATTTTGGTTACTTTATTATATATATTTTTATTAGTTTTTTGTGTGTGTTTTTATTGTTTTATATAATTCTTTGTTTTTTGATATTGATTTTTTATTTTTTTCACGTTTTAAAAATTAATAAAATAATTTAGAAGAAATATAATAACATATATATATATAATAGTATTAATAAAAAATGATTAGAAATTTCACAAACTTACAAGATTCAAACGAAAGTAAAACTTAAAATTATTAATTAATAAAATTTAAATTTTTAATAAAATTATATTGACAGGTTATTAAGATATTGCTTAGAAAAAATTTAATTAAATTTAAAAAAACTTAAACAAATATTATAATTAAGAATTTACAAATTCAGTTAATTAAATTAATTTTTAAAATAAAATGAAAATATATTATAATAAGTAAATGATTTAGTACAAAAGTAATTCAAACTTTCAATATAAAGATATATAATTAATAATATAGAGAGCTTAAAATAAATAAATCATTATAAAAAAATAACTAACTTTTGAAATGTTAAAAAACAATACAAGAATATTAAAAAAAATTAACTAATATTAAAAGTAAATATTAAAATTAATAAGTTGTTATGATTTAAAATTAAGGTTATTTTTTTTTATAATAAAAAAAAAAAATAACTAATAATAATATAAAGATGAAGAAAATTAAGGATTTTTAGATTAAAATATTCAGGATATGGAATTTGAAGTAAATATTAATTTTTTTTATGTAAATTAATAAAAAAAGGACTATAATGAAAATTTATAAGAAAGAAAAAATAGATTAATTAATGCACATTCTTAGATGAATGCAATTTATAATATTTATAAATAAACTGATAATATATCTTAATAATAATCTAATTAATTAAATCATATTGATGAATTATAGATAATACATTAAAAAATACAAAGTATATATAATATATATATATTTATTTATATAAAAAAATAGATAAGCAAATCATGAACTTCTTAAAGCAAAACAATAATTAGATGTCAAAAATAAACTTAGTTATAATATATTATTAATTTTATTTATAATATTAATTTTAATAATTGTTTTTATAAAATATTATTATTGATTATTTATTTTATTAATTAAAATATTTTTAAAAAAATACATCTAAAGATAAAAATAAATATATTTTTTATATGTATATATATATATATATATATATATATATATATATATATATATTTATATAATATATATATATATTTATATATTTTATTAATACTTATAATTAATTTTAAAATCTATATAATATTTTATTCTTCTTATCAAATTTTTCATGCCATTATAATTTATTTTAATAATTTTAATTTATTTTTAAAAAATTTAAAAAATAAGAATAATAAATTAAAAAAATATATATGTTTTATTTAATAATATAATAAAATTATTTAATTTTTTAATAATTATATTAATTATTTATAAAAAATATAAAAATGTTTTAAGAAACATAAATGAAATAATTGATTACTTATGGAAGTTGTATATCATTAAATCTAGGTCAGCATCAAGAATGTTATTTGTAATCTGATGGATTTTTAAAGTCTATATTAACAATAGAAAATTTTACAATTTTAATAGGAAATAAATTTAAAGATTTTAATAATACTATATTTAAATTAGTTCCGCCAGTAGAATTTATTGTTTAATAAACTTTATTAGAATAAATAAATACAAAATCATTTAGGTCATTAGGTACATTATATATTTTTTTTCCAAACATTAAATTTTATTTTTTTCTAGAATTAAAATAAAGAAGATAATATATAAATGAAATGCAATAGAATTTATAACTAGAATTAGGAACAAATATAAGTACGTTTAATAAATTAAAAGGGACTTCAATTCTATATTAAAGCTCTTCTTTTCATTTAGTACATGTAGTTTCGATGAAATTTTTAACTTTAACATTAGATGAATATGATAACTATATGTATAAAAAAAAATTAATATTTTTTTATTTAAATAATGAAAAAAAAAAAAAAAAAAGATTTAAAATGAATGATTTTCCAAATAAATTTAGTTTATTTAAATTTTTACCTTGCGCTAATTTAGAAAAATCTAAAACTAATTTAGTTATGAATAAAGATCATGTCTATATTTATTGTACTTCCCTAATACATAATCGAAAGGCTTTTTTATATACAAAATATTAAGGACAGGATTTAAATTATAATTAGAAAGAAATGGAATATAAAAACTAATAAATAAAAGTTCAGGCTAGTATAGAAAATTCAACAATTTTAATGTAAATTTTTATAAAATATAAATTTTTTTATAAGGTAATAATAATTTTATACTAATGAATTTTTTTTTATAAATAAATATAAAATATTTTACAATAATTTTAGGGTAAATATTTATTAAGAAAATGATGATGAGGATAATTCTTAATTTTTAAATACAGGAAGTGTTGTTTGGCTTAATTTATCAGAAAGAAATGTAATAAAATAATTTTATTTTATTTTTTATTTAAAAAATAAATAAAGTTTTGTTTATCAGCAAGTAAAATAAGTGACCCATTTTCAAATTTATTATATTCAAAAAATAATGATGATTTAGTATAAAGTAAGAACTATTTGTAAAATGGTCATATAAATGCAAATCATAGTAAATTAGGGTAATTTAATATTTTAAATAGTAGTAATAACAATACTAATAATATTATTAATTAAAATACATATATGAGTTAATTCAATATCTTAAATAATCTTCGAATTAATAATAGCAATTATATTAATTTAAGGAAAAAATCATTTAGTATATTAGGCACAGTAGAAAATGATATGGAGAATTTAAATGAAACACAAAATTTTAATTTAAGGTTTAAAAAAACATCCTAAGCAATTAATGATAATGAAAATGATAATAATTTAGATTATAGTGAGATCTATAAATAATATAAATATGTTTTAGAACATGCATAAATTGAATAAATGGAGAAACTTTTATATGAAGAAAATTATATTTAATATTAGGAAACTAATTAATAAATTAATAATTAAATGGAATAAGAGCATTCTATTTTTAATGGATTATGGAAAATAGAGCCTATTAATATATATGAAGGTGGATTATTAACTTGGGAAAACACTTACAGGTTAAAACATTTTGTTACAGGAAAATATCTTTCTGTAAAATAAATTAAGTATGATTTTTAATTAGAATTCGCATATGAGGATTTAAGTAATACTTGTTTTAAATTTTTTGATATTGCATAAAGAAAAAAGACTAAATATATCTAAAAAGACTCTTTTTGTAGAATTTATAATGTTGACAATAATCTATGGATTGGATGGAATGATAATATTTTGGAAAATTAAAATTAATAATAATAATTGTTTTTAAAGAAACCTATTTTAGAAAAAAATGGTATTTATTTTATAACTTGTTTTTATATATATAAATTAATAAAAAAGTTACTAAGATTAATACATTTAAAATTAAAAAAGCTAATTTTGAAGATATTTGGGAAAATAACTTTTTGCTATTTTCGATTCCTGTATTTCTATAAACTTTGAAATTATTTAATTAATTTGTAAAAATATATATAAAAAATAAAATTAATCGTATTATTTGTTTGTTTTATTATTTAATATTAGAACTTTAATTAATGTTAAATAAAATAATAATAAGTATTGGAATTAAAAATAAGCTTATAATGTGTTATGAGCCGTATTTTTGATATAGTAAAAAATCTTGATTAATATGTAAATAATAAACTCGTTTCTTATATAGATTTGTTATAAGATTATGAATAACCAAGCTAAATAAGATAAAATGTAAAGTATATTATAACAAAAAAAATATATTAATTTATAATTACTATATATATATTAAATTTATAAAAAAATAATAATAAAAAAAATATTAGATTATTAGAGAATAAAATATTTTAGGAATTTTATGTTGGGTTTTAGGAAAAGTATTTCCGAGTAAAGAAGAGTTTAAATTATTCGCATAAGAAACACATTAATAAGAACAAATATTATAAAAATATAAACAAAAAAAAGATAATAATTTTGTTATTGAACGTATAAAGAAAAAAATATTTATATATATATATATAAATATATATATATATATATATATATATTATATATATATATATATATATATTATATTTACTTTTATTTATATTTAATAGTTTAAGAAAATAAATTTTTATAAGACTTTTTTGAAAAAAGATTTTATTTATCTAATTAAATATACATTCTATTGTAGTCTATTTGCAAAAATAATGTTTAAAATTAAGAATATATATTTAAGTTTATTAAAATTATGATTCCGCACATTGGTTATGGAAAATTTGTTTGTTAGTGTTTAAGTAATATTTTTGGAAAAAATGAAGCTGCTTTATCTGATTTTGATAAATAAGAAATCGAATCAAGTGAAACTTAATAATAATAATAAGAAGAAGTAAAAAATAATGAAATTTAAAGATTAAACGAATCAGGATTAACTTAAAATGGTATTTTTAAATTAATTTTTTTTTTTCTATTTATTATATTTGTTTTTTTTAAAAAAAATAGAGAATGTTAATAATTTTGAATAAAGAAATACTATTTTAAATTATATTATTAATAAGCTATAAGATTTTATGGTTTATACTAAAATTGATATTATAAACTTTCTAAGTAATTGTTGTATTGTGAATAATAATGCAATATATATGAATTAGGAAACTATATACAATAAAGTTTTAATATATATATTTTTTTTAAATATTTATATATATATATTAAATTAATATATAAAAAGCTTATAGAAGAATAATAATAATATAAAAATTTTGAAAATTAAAAAGATTATTTTATGAAAACTGTAAAATCTAAATAAAACGAAAATTAAATTTTAATAGAAATTTTGGATTTTTAAATAGATAAAAAAGCAAATTAATAAATAATAAAATAATAAATAGATTTGTTTTAATTTATAAAAGAAGCTAAAAATATGGAAGATTGTATGAAAATTCAAAGCGAATTTTTTATTTCTTAAGTAAATTTGATATCTAATTTATGCAAAAATCGAAACTAAAAAATATGTATTTATTTTTCCAATATATATAGTCTTGAATAACTAGCTTTTTTCATAACTTAAAAAAAAATTGAAAATACCCAACTTTTAGCTGGTTTTTTGAAATTAATAATTAACATTTATATAGATAAATACCCCAGAATGAAAAAAATAAAACCGAAATTAGTCAGAAAATGTTTAAATAATAATTAAGGAAACACAAATTAAAATAATTAATAAGGAGGAGGATTTTCAAACTATTAAATATAGAAAAAAATGACAGAAGTTGAATACTAATAGAAATAAAAATATAAAAATAATTAAAGCTTTGAAGATTAATAAAATCAACATTTAAGCCATTCAATTCATTCTTTATAAAATGTAGAACAAAACGAGAAGAAAATTTTATCTGAGTTAAAAACCTATTTATTGAATTATTTAGAAGAATAAACATAGAAAGTTATAAAAGAAAATTATAAAAGAAGTGGATAGGTAGATAGGAGAATTTTTAATCATTTTGTACTTGAATGTGTGTAATTTTTCACTATTTTAATAAAATTCGATCTTTTTAGTGAAAAATAGTAAAATGTGGGTGATAATTAGAAAAAAAAGGCTTCTTAAAAATTTATATAGTATTTTTTAAAGTAAGCTGGATAGATTTAAAAAAAGAAAGAAATACCGGAATTAGATAGGGTTTTGAAGTGCTTGGCTTTTATTCTAGAATACGATAAGTAGTACTTTTAAGAAACTAAAGACTTAAACTTATTTAGGAGACATTAACTTTTTTAAAAACCGAAAAATGTGAATGAATAAGTACTTTAGTTATCTTCTTAGTTAACTCAGAAAATTTTTATGAAAAATAATAAATAGAGTTTAAATAATAATGAAAATAATATTATATAGAATAACGTCGATATTTAATCTAATATTACTACAGAGCCGATTTTTAAGAAGGTTTTGGGCTTAAGGAAGTTTTTATAGAAATATAGCAATAAAACTTATGATAAAAAGGAGGAAAATTAAGATTTCGAATGTGAAAATTTAATTAAAATTTAAATTTGTGAATTGTTTATTTATATTTTAGATGTTAGATAGGATTTTTTTATTGATAATATTATTAAGTATTTCTAACATGTATGTTTTTTTTTTTTATATATATACATTTTTTATTTTGGGGCAGAAATTTTGTACTTATAAAAAAGAAGAAACTGAAAAATTAGAATAGGATTTAGTTGATTTATTTCCTTAAAATGTTACTGAAATCGGAAAAGAAGTTAAGTAGGAGAAAATAAAAATTTATACAGATTAGTTATAGATTAAATGTTTTGATGAAATTTTAGGTTACCCTTTTTTAGATAGTCTATTGATGTCTTTTTATTTTGCAGAAAATTCTGAATTGTAAAAAGTTTTGAGTGAATTAATTAAAAAATATTGCCAATAGAAAAAAGAATTGGTTAAAAATTTAGTAAATCTAGAAGTTTTATTTTCTAAATAAGATAAAGAATTAAATAATATTATAAAGTCATAAGTATTTAATTTGTAAAATCTGCTTTCTTCAAGTTAAACATGGCTTATTATTGATTTTAAAAATGAAAATGAATAATTTTATTAACATGAAAATATAGATAACACAATTAGTATATTAATTAATTTCGATAAAATTTTCAAAAAAAATAAAGAAGATAAGTATTTTTTATTTAAAAAATCAATATATATATATATATATAGGGAAAGTTTGAAAGTTAGATAGAGTATTTTTATACACTCAGGAGGCTTTCTATGTCTTTTTGAATTAATAGAAAAAAGTTTTAATATATTGGATAATAAATAAAAGATATAACAATATTAACATAATAGTGAGTACGATTCTTAAGATATGTTTGATAAATAAGAATTATTAGATAAAATTATTTAAACATTAAAAACTTGTTTTTCGATTTTGGCTTCTTTATGTTTATATAATGAATAGAATTAAGAGTGATTTTTAAAAAATTATATATTGATATAAATATTTATTTAATTTTATATATAAAGATTACTTTTTAAAAGATTTTTTAGAGTTCTTTTAAACGAAAAAACATATAATATAGGGTAAATAGAGTTTATGGTAGAATTGGTTAGAGACAATATAAATATAGGTATGTTAATTAGGAATGTGGATTTAAATTATTTTTTGTATATGATAAAAACTTATGGAAAATAATATTAATTTTTGGAAATTTTTGAAGTTCTTTTAACTACTGCTGAATAAAAACCGGATTAATAAACTATTCAAAAAAAATAATCGAAGTTATATTTGATGATAAAAATATTTCTGATATAAATGTATATATAACAAAAAAAAATATAAAAAATTAAAAATATATATTATTATTAATATAAAGCCTTTTTCAAAGAATTCTAATTTTATATAATATTACGAAAACAATGATTTTTATGATAAAAAAGTAGATTTAAATATATATAAATAAAAATTTATATCTATAATATCACGTATATTACGTTAATATGAATTAGAATTAAATTTAATAAATAAAATAAGCAATTAAATGACTGCTATATAATTATTAAAATATTTAAAAGAAAGAACTTTAAAAGAGAGAAAAAATAATAATGTAAGTAACGCTAATATATAGAGCTTAAAAATAAATAGTTCTATTTTAGATTTAATATTGTTTTTTACTAATTCGAGTGAGTTTTCTTAATAACTATATGAGAGTTCGAAATTATTAATTGAAGTGGTAGAATAGGAGACTTTGAAATTGGAAAGGAATTAAAATTTAACGTTTATTTAAAAAATATATCTTTTGGATAGTTTCATTCCTGTTGTTAATTTTTATGCCGAAAATTATTTTAAAGTTTAGAGTTATTCTTTAAAAGATTAATTGAGTGAATAAAAATAAAAATTAAGTCAATTTGCATATTAGTTCTTGTCAAAAATCACTAAGTAGGTTAATATAGATAAATAAAACGAAGATTTATTTGCTTAGAATGATGAAAGGATTAAAAACGTGAAAGTTTTGGCAGTTCTTTTTGATTTTTAGTTGCCTGAAAGTTTTTTAGGGGATTATGAATAGGAAGAGTTTGTATTTTAGTTAGATTTTGATGAAGAACAAATTGCTAATAGATTAAAAAAAAAACATAAGACTTTAAAAGGGTAAAAAAATATTTAAGATTTGCATTTATTGGAAGAAGATGGTAGTAGTTAGCACAAAAATATGAACAAAATGAAAAAAGAGAATAATTAAATTATACATAAAGCTAGATAGATTGAATATTGGAAAGTTTTTAAATAGAAAGTTTAGGAAAGTTAGAAAGTTAAAAATTTAATTAAATAGGAAATTAAAACGATTTCTTAAAGTATACTTAATGTTAATTATATTTTCAAAATGGACTTTGGAAATAAGAATTATACTCAGTCAAAAAAAGAAATCATTTTAAAAAGTGATAATGTGCTTTTAAAGTTTTTTTAATTTATAGAATTTTAATAATAAAAAAATATTCCAAAAAAAAATACAGTATTTGTACTATAAATACTTATTAGTATACTTACACATATGGATTTGAATGAAAATGATAGTTATATGTAAAATTAAAAGAAAAAAGAATAATAAATTAAAGAGATTTTAAAAGAAAGATAAGGATAAATGAATAAGTTAAATGGAACTAAAATAGTTCTAAAACTTTTTTGGGATGAATGTGAAAATAATTATGAATATTAGTAAAAAAAAATATATAATAAATATAAATTTAATTATATGAATATATATAAAAATAAAAAAAAATATATATATATAAATATAAATATAATTATATATTTATATATATTTATATTTTAATAATTTACATATTTACTTTATTTTATTATATACTTATAATTTTTTATTAATTTATTATATATTATTTTTTTTATTTTATTTATATAAAATTTATTTTTTAATTAATATAATGTATTTTATATTCTTTTATTTCTTTTAGGTATTATCTAATAAAATATCTTATTTTACTTATTAAGGGTCCTAATTTAATAATTTAGAATTCTATTTATAATTATTTTGTTAGTTCTATAAATAGTGAAAAATTATTTTAAAAAATAAATCTTATTTTTACTTAATATATAAATAATTAAAAAAATAATAATTTAGAATAATAAAAACTAGTAATTTAGCTTTTAAAACTTTTAAAGTTATTTTGTGAAGGGCATTATTTAAACCTTTAAAATTATTTAAGCCATTAAATTAATTCAAAATATAGTTATAATTTAGTAGAATTAATTGTAAAGTTATTAATTTAAACTAAAATTAATGAAAATACATACAAACTTATTATTTAATGTTTTAAAACTGTAAATGATTTTGTTTAAGGTCCTTGTATATAGAATTAGTTATTAGTAGCAAATACTAAGTTTTTTGAATATGCTGTAAAAATCTTAAATGAAGATAAGAATATATATAAAATTAATAAATAAAAGTATGAAAAAAAAAAAAAATTATTAAATATTTTAACCTCTGTAAATTTATTTTTTTCTATATATATATGTATTTTAATCATATATATAAAAATAAGAACTATTCTTCTTAAAACTAAACATTGGGTTATAGAAATAAAAGCATTGAAAAATAAGATACTATGTTAGCTGAATAATAATATTAAAATGGTAAAAATTAAATGGAAACATATATATAAATTTAAATAAATTTTAGATGCGAAAAAAAATGAGAATAATGATTCGAATAAAAATAAAGATAATTTAACTAATCTATATTAAGAATATAATAATGAAAATAGATTTCAGATTTAATTAAAAAATGTTTCTATTATCAAATATTAATGTTTATTGACTATTTTGGGAATTATTGAATGTTAAAATAATAATATTGAGTTTATATAAAGGATTATGAGAATTATTCCAATTAAAATTTTAACTGAAAATCTTATAAAAGTTTATAAATAATATTAAAAATATGGAAATAATGACTATAATATTTCACTATTTAAATAAATAAAAAATTAAAATAATTAATAAGAACTAATAATAGAAAATGGCTTTTTAATATATACATTAATGAAAATATATGAAAATAATAAAGGTGAAATATAAAATTATATTAAAAAATAATTATATAATAATATTAATAAATAAAAAAAAAAGAATAGTTAGATATATAAGACGATTAATATGAAAATATGAATTTAATATTAAATGAATTTTAAATAAAAGAAAATTAAAACAGCATAAAATCAATTCTAAATGATAACAATAATATATTAGGAAATATGGCAAAACTAGGTCAAGATATACTAAATGTTGGTAAATCTGCATTAAACGTAAACAAAATAAAAATATATTACATATACATATATTTATAGGATATAGTTTAATAATTATTAGGTGAAAAGTATAATAATTAAAAACAAAATCAAGAAGATTAATAAGAACTGGAATAGGCCATTTGTTTTTTTCGAAACAAACTATGTTAAATTGAGATTATCCGTGATAATTAGCTTTTTACAATTTATTTTCCAAAACTTCCTTTTTGTTTTATGATGAAAGATAAATTTAAAGAAGAATTTAATAACAAACTAGACCGATCTTCTAATAAATAAAAATTAAAAGACCTTATATATTAAGCAGATACACTGATTCGGGTTATAAAATGTGAGGAAAAAATTCGCCGAATAATCTAAAAAAGATATACTATTGGTTTTATCATTTCCAATCATATTTTATGGGAAAGAATTTCATTTTATATCACAATTGCAATAAATATAATTATAATAGCCTCCTATAGTGAATATTATATTGATAATTAATATGAAATATACACTAAAGACTCCGTTTAATATAAAAACGCTTTAAATGAAGCTCGTTTATTCTATCCTAGGCTATTAAACAGGGAATATTATAAAAATACTAAGGCTTTAATATATACTTTAGGGATAGTTAATATGATTTTATTTTGTTTAGTTTTTGTAATTTTTATATTTAAGAAATCTTCTTTTATTATTGGGAATTTATGGAAAGGATTTTTCTCTTAATAGGAAAATTTAACTTTAAAAAATAAAATAATAAAGGCTTGTGTAAACTTATTTTTTTCAATTTATATGCTAATGTCTGATTTTGATGTAGTTTATTATATTGTGCAATTAACGTGTGTTTTATTGGGGATATTTGCACATCCGTTCTTTTTTGCAGGTCTATTGTCAGACTTTTTAAGAATTAGGGCTTTAAAGCATGTTGTTTTAGCTGTTTATTAACCAAGAGTATATTTATTTTTTTGGCTAGTGATATTTTTTTTAGGTTAATACTATTTTACTATATATTCGTATATTTATTTCTTTGATCATTATTTAGATAAGGATTGTAATAGTATGTGGAGGTGCTTTTTTAAAAATATTGATCATACTTTTAAAAATGCAGGAGCCATAGGAGATATAATGTATGAACCAAAAAGTCTATAAATATTAAAAGAAAATATAAGTCAATATAGAGGAGTTAATTAAAAACTATTAGAAGAATATTTTAGTAGGTTTATTTTTGATAATTTATTCTATTTTACGTTTATTGTGTTTTTTATGAGTATGTTTGCAGGAATTATTATTGATTAATTTAGATAAATAAAAAATAAAATGAATTAAAAAGTTATAGATTAAAATAAATAATGCTTTATTTGTGGACTAAATAGGGAAATATTAGACGAAAAAATTGGATTTTATTAACACATTAAAGTATAAAATAAATATAAATATTTAAATATATATAAATATATTTATATAGATTGAACATAATATGTGGAATTATATTTATTTTAAAGCTTATTTAAAATATAAAAATCAATAATAATTTAACGGAAATGAAAATTATATTTGGAATAAAATTGAAATGTTTGATCTTAGTTGGATTCCAATTAGGAGAACGAGTAAAATCAAGGATTTTGAAAGTGAAAAGTATGTTAAAAATTAAGATACTATAAATGCTAAAGAAAATGTATAATTTTATATATAAATAATATTAAAAAATATATATTTGTATATAATTATTTTATATATATATATTTAATATTTTATTATATCCTATTTTATTTTTAATATACATTTATTTCTACAAATATATTTATTTAAATAAATTAGATTAAAAGTTTAAATAATTATTTAGAAAAAACAATAGAAAAATAAAAATAAGTAGTTGTTTATTTAAAGTAAAGGAAAAGTCATAAATAATTAAAAGTTGAATATACATTTTGAAATAAAAAATATTATAATAAATATCTATAGTTATAATATTTTTTTTAGATTTAAATAATTAATATTTTAAAATTATATTAAATATTTTAATATAATTTGAAAATTTGCATGTTATTAAAATAGTTTATTTTATAACTATTTTATATATTTCTTAATAAAATATTATATAATATTTAATAATCTAATTAAATCAGAATATTTTTTGATTTTAAACAAAATTATAATTAACTAAAAAAAATATTTTAGCTATAAAAAATTTTAAAAAATATTGCTTAATAAATATAAATTGAAAAATAATTATATAATTTGGTTTCTAAAATATAATATTTTTTGCTAAAAAATGAATTTAAATTCCAATTTTTATTAAATATTATTAATATTAAATATATATAATATAATTATAATTTCATATTTTTTTTAAAAAAATAAAAATATTAATTTATAATTTTTTTTAAAAAAAAAAAATATTTAAAAATTTAAAAGTTAAAATATGAGTTAAAATAATTTAACATAAAACAATAATTACACAAGTACAAATAATCATTTACCAAACCTAAGTATAAACCGACCTTCTAATAGCATGTATATCTAAAAGTCTACTCTAATATCTACGAATAAAATAGATACAAGTAAAGTTGTAAACCCAATTTCAAGAAAAGATTGGGTGAGTGGAACTGATGCTTTAAAGTAGATATTTTCTGCAAAAGACGAAGAAATTGAATACTGGAAAAATATGTGTGATTAATAGGAAATAACAATTAGTTAAATGGAAATAATTAGCGAATAAAACAATCAGTATGAAAATGAGAATTATAATTTGAGAGTTTTTTTAGAATTAAAGGAAAAAGAATTTGAATAATTAAAAAAAACTTTGGATTAGTGTAATCATTTTAAAGACTTAAAAATTGAAGAATTGGAAGAAAAAGTAGCGAATTTAGCAGTTGAAAATGAAAGATTGAGAAATTTAGTAAATTTAAAAAATTAGGACATTGAAAAATTTAAATAGGAAATATTTTAAAGTTAGGATTAATGTAAACTAATGGAAAATAATATTCAAGAAAAAGATAATTAGATTTTTTTATTAATTAAAAATATTGATGAATGGAAATAAAAAAATAATAAATAGGAAATGTAAATTAATGAATATAAGAAATTTTAAGATTTAGCAAAAGAATATGAAAATAAAATTAATTAATTATCTATATAAATAGATTTATAGAATTAATTTATGAACGAAAAATTAGAAGAAAATGAAAAAATTAAATAAAATAAAAAAGAAAATGAAGTCCAATACTAATAAAAAATTAAAGAAATAGAAAATAAATAAAAAGAAATTGAAAATCAATATATAAATAAATAAAAAGAAATTGAAAATCAATATATAAATAAATAAAAAGAATATGAAAACTAATATATGAATAACTATAAATAAATTGAGAATTAATATATAAATAAATATAAAGAAATCGAGAATTAATATATAAATAAATATAAAGAAATCGATAATTAATATTAGTATAAATAAAAAGAATATGAGAACCGAATTATGATTTTAAGTTAGGAAATTTAAAGTTAAAATGAACATATATTTTAATAATAGAAAGAAATATAAGAAATATAAGAAAGAAATATATAAATGGAATAAATAATCACTCATTTATAGGTTTTTGAAATAAAATGTAAGGAATATGAATAGTCATTGTGTTAAATAGGCTAAATATTATAAGAGGAGAAATAGAAAAATTTTAATATGGAAAAAAAAAGTGAATATTAAGATTAAAAAATTAAAGATTTTGAAAATAAAATTGTGCTTTTAACTTAAGAAATTGAAAGATTAAATAAAGTCTTAATTTAAAAATTATAAGAAAATGACTAGTTAAAATCCAAAACATAAAATTTTGAATTTAAAAATATTCAAAGTGAAAATAAAAATAAAGAACTTTTGGATAAAGTTTAGGCACTTTAGCTATAAATAGAAAAGATGAGTTAATAAATAGAAGAGGCAAATGTATAAATAGAAGAAGATTAAGTCAAAAAAAGTAAAATGAGTAAAGAAATTGTAGATTGGGAATCTAAATTAGCCTTACTTAGTGTCGAAATTGAAAGATTGAGGAATATTTTAATGTAAAAAGATTAGGAAATTGATTAATTAAGGATAAGATATTAAAAATTAGAAATGAGTCTATCAGAAATGTATATTTTAAAGGAAAAAAATTAAGTACTTAATGCTGAAATAGATAGACTTAGTGAAGAATTTGAATGTATTGAAATGGAAAATGTATAGTTGAAACAATCTATGGTAAACATTAATGATTTAAATATTAAAATTAGAGATTTATTAGTTATTTGTGTATAACTTTTTGCAGAAATCGAATGTTTGAGAATAAGAATAAAAGAAAAATAGTAAGAAGTCAATGATATAAGAAGATCATCATTAGCAAATTATAGAAATTGATATTAAAATAAATATATATATATATATATATATATATATATATATATATATATATATATATATTTTTAAATATTACTATTACTTTTTTGGTTTATTCATTCATTTTTTATTTTATTTTTTTTAAATATATTTTGTTTTTTTTTGATTTATTTATTTTACAGTTATATAAAATATATTTTTTTTATTTTTTAAAAAATAAAAAGAAAAAAAATCTCTTTTAAATAAAATATTTATATATTAAAATATGGGCCCTAAAAAAAAAGAAGAAGAAATCGATTTATAAACACTACCTCCTTGGTAATCATTAAATTGCATGATTAAATTTTAAGGCAAAAAAGAAAGAATGCAAATATTAATAAATAATTTATTAACACAACCTAAATCATTTTAAAGAAATATAACGCGTGAAGAAATAATTGAATTTGCTAAAGAAAAAGGCTTATATACAGATCCAAATACTTTAAATGAGAAATAAAAAAAAGATACGAAATTCTTAGAATCTACTAATTTAGAATTAACACCAAAAGTTCTCGCAGAAGCTTTTAATGCTCTTAAATATGATTTAGATATTAAAGGAAGAAAAGTAAAATACAAAAAACATTCAAAAATAAATATAAAAAATATAGATAAAAAAATTAAATATAGACGCATTAAATGAGGCTAATGAAGATAAAAAAGTAGATTAAAAAAAAAGTAAAAAATAAATAAATAAATAAATAAATAAATATATATATATATATATATATATATAATATATATACTTTTATATACATATATATATATATTTTATTATTTATATCTATTTTTATTTATTTGTATTAATATAATTATAGAAGGTGATAAAAAAGAAACTAAAAAAGGAAAACATTAAGAAGAAATAAAAGAAGAAAAAAAACCATTAGCTGAACTTGAAAAAGAATATAAAAAAAATATTGATGTTTTTTATTTATTATTTGACTACCCTCAAACTAAAGAAGAAATACATGCATTATCTTATACTAATAACATAATTAATTTAATTTTCGATACTAAAGAAAAAGTAATTTGGCCTTAAATCGAATTATAATTCTAATAATAATAACCTGAATAAGCTGGAATAGTTTAAAAAGATGAAGAATAAGAAGAAGAAGATCCAGATATAATTGAATCTCGAAGATAAGAATAAGAAATGATTGAAAAATTATAAAAAGAGCAATTAAATGAAAAAGATTATGAGTATATATATGAAGTTTAAGAATATATAAATCTATATAAATAGGCTAGAAAGGAAGTTGGTAAAGAATAAATTTTGAGAAATTCTGTTATAAAGGAAATTATTTATTAAAATGATATTTTATAGAAAGATGAGAGTTTTAAGTCTTTTTTGGATTATTTTTTAGAGGAAATTTGCATGTTTTCTTTTGATATTTAGTAGTTTTAAGAATGGATTAAAGGAAAAAAAGAATTGCCTTTATGTCCTTTAGAATATGCTAAGAAATAAAGGGAAGAAGAGGAGAAAAGAAAAGTTTAAGAAAGATTAATGTATGAATAATAAATTTTGGAAGAACAAAAAGAAAAAGAAAAAAAATAAGGTAAAAAAGAGGCTAAAAAAGACGATAAAAAAGGAAAAAAAGACGACTAAAAATTAGAAGAAGAAAGAAAATAATAGGAGTTATTATTAATGTAAAAATAATAAGAATTATTGGAAAAAAATTAAGATTTACCACCTGCTCTTGAAGTGGAACCTTTTTAATTTTATTATATGTAATTAGAAAACGTTAATTTATAAAAAACTGGACCGGGAATACTTTTAGAATGCTTATTAGATCAAATTTAATAAGAGAAAAATCAAGAATTAAATAACAAAAATAATTAAAAAGATAATGTCTAAAACATTTTAAATACTTTATCTAATAAAATAGATTATAAATCTAATAAAGATAATATTAATAATAATAATGATAATATTAATAATAAAAATAATAATATTGAATTTTTGGAATAATAAATAATTGATGAAAATGACGAAATAGAAAAAAAAAGCCAAAATTAAACTTTAAATAAAAAAGATGAAATATAAATTAGGGAAAAAAACCTTTTAAAAAATCTAGTTTTTCCAGGCTTAGATAGATAGAATATGCCTGAAATTCCAGAAAAATCTATTGATTTAAGAAATGCTGAAAAAGCACTTATTTATCCTTTTATTTCTTGCGATGTGTCTGAATTCGAAAGGAGATAAACAATTTGTAAATTCGAGGAAATTTTAAACGAAGCAGAACCGGAAAGGGAATGGAATTTTGGAGATAGAATATATATAGAAAGGTTTAATAAAAATACTTTATGTTAAAGTTTATAAAAAGCACTATTATAGGAACCTTTAATGGTTACTAAATATAATTCTAGAGAAGATAATTTATTTATTGTTTTGTATTTTAAAAATCCACCAGGAAGGGTTTTTAGGAAAAAATGGAATGCAGAATGGCAGGTTATGCCTAATTTGGAAAATTGGATTTAATTTTTTAAAAATAATGAAGTAAACTATAAAAATGAAGTATATTATAATATTGATTATGAAGTTATTGGAAATCTACATGAGAGAATCAAATATATGTTCCCAGGAGATAATTCAGTTATATATGGAAATAAATTCTAGGTTGGAGATAAGATATTTTATAGGTTTAAAACTAATATATATATATATATATATATATATATTTATATATATATATTTTTATATAAATATATATTTTTTAGGTATAAAATTATAAAAGAAAATGTAGTTTTTGGCATTAGAGAAAATAGAATGTAGTAATGTAATTTCTGGGCTTAATTTGAAAATTCAAATTAGTTATATGTTGAATTAACTAATAATAATGTAATTATACATATATAATTATTTATTATTTTTAAAATTTTAAAATTTTAAGAATAACTAAGAATATGTACCTTAAATAAATATTTCTTTATCAAATGGTTTAATAGTGAAATTCTTATCAAACGGAGATGTGTATTAATAAATAATGGATGATAAAAATAAATTATTATATAAAGATTATGATGATATAAACCCAAATGATAATTCAAAATAATCAGATAAAAGAGAAATAAAGAGAATAGTAACAGGAAAAGGAACAGTAATAAAATATATGAAAAATGGTTTTATTTATATTCTTTACTAAAACGGAAATGTTAGTTTTTTCAATAATAAAAACAATACATGGATTTGCACAAATAATAAAGTATAAATATATAAATGTCCAAAAAAATATTTAAATTCAAAATTATTAATATATATTTAATTTAATAAAAAGGGATTAAGAAAAGCAAGAAACATAATAAATAACAGTGAATAATAATATGAATCAGTTCCTTGTGCAAAAAGAACTGACCCGAATACAGGTTCTTAGATAATTATAAGAGAAGATTAAACATTAATAATTAAATATATTGACGGTTCTGTATATACTAAACATTTTGATGGAACATAAATATATACTGCTTAAGATAAAAATACTATTATAATAGAACATAATGATTTCGCCACTATTAAAGTCCTATTTGATATAAACAATGAAAAAATATTAGAAACATATTTACCTGATAAAACTAAAGTTATATTTATAAAGTAAAAAATTATTAAAATATTTATATTTATATATATAAATAAAATATAAATAAATATGTATATATTTTTATATTTATAAATATATATATAATTATATTTAGAGATTATCATTAAATATTTTTGGATGATGGTTCTCAATGTAATATTTATAACAATGGTATAATTAGATTTTTGTCAGTTATAGATAATTAAGAGAAATTAAATAATTATATAGACAATAATTAATAAGGTGTTTATATAGTTAATTTACATGATAAATAAATACATACAATTGATAATTAAGGTAATTCTTTTATTTTAAGAAGTAATGGAGATATAGAAACTAATATAATTTCAAATTAAAATATTGATAATTTGAATAATAATAATAATAATAATAATAATAATAATAATAATAATTAATAATAATAATAATAACTCTTTTTAATTTTAAGAAATTGAAAGACCTTAAACTCCTGATTTTTAAGATGGAGAATATATAGATGAAGAATATAAAAATATATATCCATAAACTGAAAAATGGAATATAAGGCTTTTTGTTGTTTAAAATGATAATACAGGATATGAAGTATTAAGACTATTATTGATATAAATATATATAAATATAAATATAAATATATATATATATTTATATATACATATATATATATAAAAAAAAAAAAAAAGTTATTAAATCAATTTCAAGTTTAAAATTATTTTAATTAAAAATAAGAAAATGAAAGTTGTTAAAAAGTGATAGAAGATTCTATAAAAAATAAAAATAATTGCACATCATATACTTTTATTTCTTCTTTATTATAGTTAGAAGATAAGAAAATATATCATTTAGATCCATAGTATCCTTAAGATTTAGATATAATTAGTAAAAAATAAACTCAAAAAGTTTAAAAGAACTCTCCTAATGTATTTACTTTCCGAAATTTATTAAAATTCGAGAATTTCGACTCTATAAAAAGGGAAGAACATAAAAAAGACATCGAAAAATTCTATTAATGGAAAAAAGAATACCAAAAACAGAGTAATGAATTTGGTATTATTTAAAAAAGCGAAGTAGAAAGATAAGAAGACATCAGTATTTCTTTACAGATTTTAAATTTCCGAAAAAACTGTATTTTAGATGAAAATTATGAAGAAGCTAAAGATAATTTTATAAAAAATTTAAAAAAAAAATAAGAAAAAGATTCTTAAAAAAAAAAAATGGAAAAAGAAGCCGAAAATTTAGACGAAATATAAAAAACTTAAAACGAGAAAAATTCCAATATATAAAAAATCTCTAAAAAATAAAAAAATATTGAAAATAATTTCTAAAACGAATTTTCATTAAAAATACAAAAAAAAAAAGATGTTTTTGTCACTCATTTCTTTGAAACAGAAGAAGGATTATAAGCCTTAAACTCTATGGAAAAATATATATTCCTCCCAGTTGTATTAGCTCCTAATTTAAAAGATGTAAATAGAAATGATATAGAAGATTTAAACAGTCGAGCAAATGAATATTAATAAAGTTTTAAAAATACTACTCTAAAAGCCACATAATTTAAAGAAAATGATCAACCAATAGTATAATTAGAACCAGAAGGAAATTAATAAGGATATATGAGTCAAAAATAACCTTTTAATATAATCATTAAGCCTAGTGTATTTACATAAAGAGAAATTGATGAAGAAAAAAGACTCATTGAAGATGAAAGAGAAGCACTTAGATATAGGAAAATCAAAACTAAAGACTATAATATTTTAGGTGATGAAAGAAAAGAAGAATAAAAATAAAAAGTATAAAAAAAATATATATATATATAATTAATAATATAAAAAATATTATATATATATATATATAATTATATAAATAAAATAAAATAATATATCTATAAATATATAAATTTATATATATATATAAATATATATATTAATACATTTATATGTATTATAGATACCTTGTTTATTTAAAAGTAATCCAATATCAGAATTAAATTAGAAATATTTACTTACAGACAGTTTAACTGAAAAAAGAATAAAAATAAGTTCTTTGGCTAATAGATTATATTTAAAAGCTCCAAGTATTAATGAATAGAGAAATACTGGATCACACTAGGCATTAGCAAAAACATTAGATAAAAAATATAATATAGATGATTTAGAAAATAGAAAAAATTTAATGTTGACAGCAGATTTAAATGATTAGTTAAAAAAAGATATTTCAATTATTCCTTGTTAAGTTAATTTTGGTGTACTTAAAAATGATAGAATTTATTAAACAAAAATTGTTATTAAAAATGAAGATATATTGGCTTAAAGAGTTGTATTAAAATAACCTTAATCATAATATATTAAAGTTTTTTTAAATGAATTAGGAACAGTAATATTGTTTAAAATATATATAATTATATAAATATATTTAAATATTTATATATATATATATATATTAGATTCCTATGGGATTAACTAGAGATATTATTGTTAGAATAAATGCTTCAGCTGAAATTATCGGAAAGTTTACCGAAGAATTTTAAGTTATGACTAAACATTCAGTTTATAGAATTCCTATATAGGCTAATATTTTAGAAAGTAGAGAATTCGACTATTTAGTAAAAGAATCAAAAGAAATTCATGGAAAACATATTTTAAAATAACATGTTAAAGAATTAGAAATTGTAACTTTTTTTTTTTATTTTGCTATATTATTTTTAAAGGATAAAAGAAAAGATGTAAACGAAAGTTAATAATCTGAATTATTTCCTAAATTAAATAATTTTGATAAAAATTATTAAATTGATCCAACTAAAAATATAATAAAAAATAAAAAAGAAAATAATAATAATGATTCTTTTGAATAATCTTTTAATGATTGAAAAATAGAAAAATAATTAAATTATTTATTTTCTTTTTATTTATTAATAAATATATATTTATTTATATATATATATATTTATAAAAATATATATATATTATATTATTAATAAATATAAAAGATATATAATTTTTTATTTTTAAAAAGAAAAATATAAATATATAAGAAATTCAATTTTAAAAATTATATTAATATAAAAATTTAAAATATTCTATTAAAAGATTTTCAATTTTTTAATTATAATTAATTTTTTAATTAAGGATACATTATTAACAATTACTACAGAATTCACATTTTTCATTAAAAATATATTTTTTATAACTATAACTATTTAATAATATTAATTCATGTATTAATTATTCGCTATTTTTTAATAACTATTAGAAAATAAAAATATTGATATAAATGTATATATAAATAAAAAAATTTATATATTTATTTATATATATATATATTTATTTATTTATACATATTTATATATATATATATTATTTATTACTCTATTTATTTTGATTTAATTGAAACTTTCTAATATATAATCGTTTAATGTATTCATCAAACCTATAATTTAATTTTGTCTTTCTATTAAATTCTATTATATTATATAATTTTCTAAGTTTTCAACTATTTATTATTAATATAAAATTTATATATCATCTGAATAGAATTCATATTAATGTATATTTTATGCAATATCAATAAATTCATTAATACAATCAATGCAAAAACTATAAAAATTATTTAAAAAAAATATATACATAATTTGATATATACTTTATGTATTTTTTTAGTTATATTTCTTCACTTTAATTATTTTTACTATTATTTATTTATTCTCTTTATTGCTTTTCAAATTTTATAATTAGTAAAAGATTTCTACAATTTTTTTATTATATATATAAACTTGGAAAATTATAATTATTTTTAAATCCTTTTTAAAAATATAAATAATGATTAAAATAAAATATTGAATCAATTAAAAATATAGAAAATAGTATAAATTAATATATATAAAAATATTAAAAATTTAAAACCATTATTATAAAGAGCATATCTTAGTTTAAATTACTTATTAAATTTTTTAGCAAAATTATATGAATTTTCTATAGTTTAATGTAATTCTATTAATATCTTTTTTTTATTTATTTTTTAATTATAAATAATATTTTTAATTACATTTGAGTTTATATATTATTTATTTTTATTAAAAAATAGATTAATTGTTTCTATAGTATTTATTTAAATTTAACATTAAGTTTATATTTAAGAACTATCTAAATTAAAACTAAAATTAATAAACTATTTGAAAAAATCATAATCATTTAATTTAAATAAATCATCATTTTCATATTTTAATAAATCTAAAGGGAGTGATATATTAATAATTTTAATAAAAAAATTAATTAATAATTCAACCTAATTATTATCAATTTATTTACATTCGATTTCAATAATAAATTGTTTTATTTTTTATATTAAAATTTAAGAATAATTCTAATTAATTTTATATAAAAAAATAATAAAAAAAATGATAAAAAAAATAATAAAAAAAATGATAAAAAAAATATTACATTAACATTTAAATGCAAGAACTTTTCTACAAAATTAAAATAATCTTTTAAGTATAAATTTAAATCATTTTAATTTAATTTTTTTAAAAATATATTAATTTCTTCAAAAAAAAATACACATATATCATTAGTTATATGTTTATTATTTAAATTATCATTTTATTATTAAAAAAATTAAATAGAATCCTCTAAAATATTTAAAAAAATTATTTTCCAAACATTTTTAAGTAAACTATTATTTTTCTAAATACATAATAGTTTATTAATATTGAAAAAGAACTCTATTTTTTTATTTAAAATATAAAAACCTTCCAAATTATTTTCTTTGAATATATTATTTTAAATAAATTCTTTTAAAAGCTTAATAAAAATGCTATCATTTTCCGGTAAAAAGAAAAAATCAAATAATGAAGAATTAATTAAAAAAGAAATAAATAAAAAGCTATAATCTATAATATCAAACACTATATTATTAATAAAACAATTAACTAATTTATTAAAGATTTTAATGATAAAAAAGGCATTATTTTAATTTAATTTTTCTAAAAATTCTTATAAATTACTATTAGTAAATATATTATTTATAATAAAAAATACATTATTAACCACTAATAATATATTTAAATAATCAACACTTTAATTAATTAAATCTAAAATAACATTCCATCCTTCCTAATTGATTTTTTAAAAACCTTAGACTACAATATCATTTATAGACTATAAGATTTATTAATAAATATTGTTTTTCTAAGAACTTGTATATTCAAATATATTTAATAAAGGTTTAAAAATTTATTTTTGGTTAATATTTAAATTTTCCTTTAGAATTAATTAAATGGAAATCTTTTATATAAAATCAATTGAATTTTAGGCAAAATATACAGACGAATTAATACTCACAAAAGTCAAGAAATCACTTATAATTTCCCATATAGAAAACTACATTTAATTTAAAATATTTCCATTTATGCAACACTCATATATTTTGGTTAAGTAAAATAGGTTTTTATTATTTATGTCTACTATTTCTTCCTCTTAACATAGTTAAATTAAACTTTCGAAAAAATTAAAAAGCTAAAGTTCGTTAAAAACATGTAAATTATTTATTATTTTTCCTATTCCTAATTCTATTTCGGCTTTAGAAATTAAAACAGAATCTAAAAAAGGAGGATTAGTGGAAAAAAGGACTTTATGGAATACTTTAAAGACTATTTTCCATTATTTATTAAAGGCTTTTCCGGAAAAAAGGGAAACTTCGATTAAATATTTAATACTGAATGTACTTTTGATTTATTCGATATTATTTGATGATTTCTTACACAAAAATTACAAAAATGGCTCTATTTGGGAATTTTATTGAGTTTATGAAAATAAAAAAATTATTTAAGAAAATCCTTTTAGAGATAATTCTATTTACGACAAATCTTCGTTTTTTTCGAATTAAATGGAAAATGTTGCAAAAAATATACTCCAAGTTTTTTCAAGGAAATTATTTAAAAAGAAATTTTTTATCCCGAATTATTAAATAAAATTTTAGTCTTTTTTTTATGTCCTTTATTAAATTTTTATAAATAAAAAATCCTCCTAAAAATCATCTTCTATACATTTTTTTACATTTAAATATATATCTTTTATTTTTTCTTATTTTATTTAGTCTATTCCTTTTGTAAGCTCCTTAAATTCACTTAAAGTCATTTTATTTTCAGAATTTAAACTTGTTTCTAGTAATAAAACTGCATAACATAATGTAAAAACGGAACTTTCTTTTGGAAAATCTTAAAAATTCTATTAACAGTATACTTTGCTGAAATTTTCAATTAAAATATCCATTTTAATACTATCTTGGAGTGGTTCAATGTAAAAAAAGAGAGTTTTTAAGGCTAAATATATATCAGTTTTAGAAAAATCAAAAAAATAGAGAAAATTAAGGAAAATTTATGGATTATTTTTAGTAAAAAAATCAGTTAAAAATTACTTTTTTATATGATGTTTTTAAAAAAATAAAAACTTTTCTAAATTTTGGTTTATATTTTAATTATTTTAATTTTGGTAAAAATTTTAAATTAAAGAAAAATTTTCGATTTTTTATTTAAGATTTTCCTTTAAAATAATTTCGTTTTTTTCAATAAAAATGTCTTAATGATTTTAAAAATTTTACATTTACAATTGTAAATATTCGAATTATTTTTAAATCATATAACTTAAAGATAGAAAAGCAGTTTTTTATAAATAATGTGCTTCTAATGATAATATTAGGTAATCAAATTCTGGTTATGAATATTTCCCTTGTGCTATTTTAGAAAGAAAAAGAATCAGTTTCTCACAAACATTTTCATAGGAAGTATTTAAATCAAAATTTATATATAATTCAGGTATAAGTCGAGGGATTTTGAAAATTTCACAAAAGAAATTTAATATTAGAATTTTTAATTATGTATTTGTGGTTTCTTTTTCGAATATTTTTATTAAATAATAGTTTAAAATAAACTTTAAAAAAATATTATATTTATATATTACAATTATTTTATATAAAAATTATTACATAGATTTCTTCTTTTAAATTGTCCCTAAAATCATTAAAAATTAATATCAGAATTTTTAAAGAAATTTCACATATTTATTTTTCATAACTTTATATATTCTATAATAAAATATCAATTAAATAATCTTTTATAATCAATTGAAATTAAGATAAAAAAACTATTCCTGAATTTTAAAAAATGGAATATAATTATTCTTAACAAATAATTTTAATTTTAATAATTTATGGATTTTATTAGAAATTTAAACTAAAATATATATATATATAAATTTATATATATATATATTATTATTTTTATTATATTTTTATAATATTTTACTTTTACACATTTCGTTTTTATAATATACATAATATTTTAAATATATTTAATGAGTCTTCCTTATATTAATTATTTTTTATAATTTTATTTTTATTTTATTCCATTTTTAATATCTTTTATAATAATTAATTATGTGTTTCTTTACATTCTTTTGAACACAAAGGTATCCTATTTTCTTTACAATATTTTTATGATGTTTTTCTACACATGAAACACCTTTAATATAATTTTAAAAAAATACTATATATTTAATATAATAATAACCATCCATATTTTCCAGAAATTTAATTCTTTTCATTATTAATTTCTATATATAAAGCATTACAATATAAAGCATTATTATCTTCATGAATAGGCGGTACTAAAAGTAAAGGTGGTTTTTCCTAAACATTTTTTCTTTCAATATAAAATTAAACTTAATCAATTATATTAGTAAGGGTTTGTTTACAGTATTAATTTAATAATAATGTATAATTGTTTTATGGGAAGCTTAAAGGAAAATATTAAATTTGTTTATTTGTATCATTATTTTATTTACCCATAATAAAATTTCCTTCTGGAGATTGAAA